CTTGATACAATAATCCGTCTTAAGTCAATCTTTCTCCTCCTATATATACTTGTAGTATCTACAGCCCTTCTTCTTACAACCAGGAAAATAACAATCATCCTTACCCTTATCAGCCAATACAGGAAAAGGTTGTCATCCAGTATATTTATTATAAGGTTTCCAGGAAAAGGAGCTCGAAGATTTATTATTATAGAAATATTAATCTATAAAGAATATCTCAGGCAATATATCCTGCTTCGGAAATGCTTTTCGATAAGAATCGATAGCTTGTTTAATCTAGTTAATAAGCTCTGTAATAATTGAATAAGGATTATATATTGTAAAATAATACTTTGAAATACTATTATATACAGACAAGATCCTAATATAATATAATTAGGAGTTGCATATATTGCTAGGAATAGTATACTAAATAAAGCATAAATTCGTAATTATTGTATTAAACATTTCCTGAAATTTCTTAATCAAATTCTTCTCAATATAGTTTTTGAAAATGATTTTGTTCCACTTGAAAAGTATATTTCGCTAATATTCAGGTCCTTCGAAATTGTTAACCATCATTTTGTATACATCATCATATATCTTAGAAAAAGTATTGAGGTTAGTTTAATAAAAGTCTCTAGCAACACCTAAAAGCATAATAGAGAATACTATCAAAATTATTTTAGTTGATACAAATATTCTACAACAATACTCTACAAATATAGAGATTTTCAACTAAAAGAAATCATCAATACCCTTATACCTATCGTTATTTCTATAGATCTTAGAAAGATTAATAAAACAGCAACTCTAATTGTATTGATTATCTTTTTAGCAATTGAGACGATTATAATAACCCTTATTTCCATTACCTCTGCCATTACCTCTACCACTATCTTTGCCACCACCTTTACCGCCTCTATCACCTCAGTTATTATCATTATCATTATTATCTAAATCATCATCATCATCAAATAATTCTATAAAAATATTAATCAATAAAACCCTAAAATCTGGTAAAGGTATATTTTATACATCCCCAAATTAGAATAAAGATTGAAATAAAACTAATCCTTTTATTATTGAGCTACCTATAACTTTACCAAATTTTAACAAAGTTAGTTGATTAGCTGTATTACCATCTTGAGATTCGGGAGGTTCGGTTTGTAATTTCAGATCGAGTCCAATAAGAAGATGAGCCTATTTCATTGATACGAATGGTTGTATTTCATTAGACTAATATTTCAGGAATTGATTCGTAATCCAATCATAATATTTGTTATAATTAAATATTTCTATAAAAGCATTCTTGATATCTATATTAATATCAATATAAACTTTATAATATTACAAAACTATACAAAAGTTATATAATATCAACTTATTAATATTCCTTAATATACCTTTACAAATATAATCGAAATCAGATATAACTATATCCTAAAGAAATATATTAATAATCCTTATATCCGAATATACAGTTTTTCTAAAAAGAAAGTATTTATCAGTATAATGCTTTATTCCCAATCTAAATGTATATTCTTTATAGAACTATTTAACTTTATTAAGGTTTTTTAGAAAAGAATAATTCTGAAGTTCTCCTTTGAATTCTAATTCCTTTATAGTTTTCTAAGCTTTTCTTTTTTCAATTGCTTTGTTAGAAGGAATATAAGGATCAAAGGAAGCGGTAGGCTGAGGATAAGAAAAAGTATTAATTGTATCTAGACCTTTGTAATGAGAAATACTGAAACCTACTTATAAAGGATCAATATTATCGATTATTATATCGACATACCCTTTTATACCAATGGATTTATCGAATAAAACCGGTTTCTTGCTAATATCGGGTTTCTTATCAGAATCGGATTTCTTGCCAGCTTACTTAAAATTAGCACTAGCATTTGCCTGAAACATCATGGTACTAACAACAGAAAGTAAAAAAAGTAAGAGTGAAAAGATATTTCGAATAAATAAATTAAGTAATTTGTGATATCACTAATTAGTATTGGTTTGAGAGAGATACAGAAAATGTGATTCCTATTATGTGTAGGCCCCTAAATATTTATTTGTATTCAATCTAAGGAACTAGCTAAATGAGGGAAATAGTAGACCTTATATAGGCATTACTGAAAGAGCTAGTCTCTTTCGCTTTCGCCTAATACCTTTAATACAATTGCCATTGTATGGAAGTTATTCCTTTGAAGTGAATTCCTTTGAGTGAATTCCCTTGTCCACACAATTTGCCAAATATTTTCGATGATTGAGAGATCAGGATTATTATAACAGTTTTAATAGATTTCTAAATTATAATCTCTTTTTTATTTTTTTATTATATTATTCTTTTTGCTTTTATAGTTGTGTTTTGAATTATTATTATTTTTGAGTATGAAATCTTTTGATATAGTTAATCATTACTTTATCTTTCTATTCAATATAATATCGATATAAATCTTATAGAATAACTTATTATTCTAGTTTTCAGAAATATTGTAATATATAAGATTACTTTTAAAATTATAGCCTATTATTGTCTAATAGTATTGTTTATTGTAATATTCCTTCTTTTTTATTTTTTTAAACTGAATATATTTAGGACAGAGCCTTTAATCTAGTTTTCTAATAATCCTATACTTTTTTTCAGACTCGAAATCCCAGTAATACTTATTAGAAAATCTAATTCTTTTTTAATCCTTTGGATTAGGGTATTTAGCTAGTATATTATGAGTAAATTAGAGTCTAGCGGTAGCTATCCTTTGTATAATCTATTTCTTATAATAAGCTATATATTTTCGATATTCTATAGATTCTATAGCTTGTATAATAATCCTTCCGGATTTATCTAATTCATACATCTTTTTTAATTGTTTTTAATTGAAAGATTTAGTCTCAAAACCCTTCGTTTGGATTATGATTTTTATAGTATATATATTACGAGAAGTAAGGGTTTTTTTTGTTCCTTTAATTTTTTTATATATTATAGAATTATATAAATATCTTGGATTGTGATTATATTAATATCGATATTCAATGCGAGGTACGATATTGTAGACTCTGAATACTCGAGCTTTGAAAATAGTAATAATTCTATTAATTATTTTATTAAATATAGCCTGGGTTTTAGTTTTAATAGGGATTCTATTATACTATTAGGGATACGTTTTATCCTTATAGCAATTGTGGCGAATTGATATTATTATATTATGATTTAATAATTAATTTTGAAGTTATAGTAATTGATGTGAATTGAGGTTAAAAGGATATGTATACCATTTTTCGTGTTACTCGCGAGAGTATTAACTACGGCTGGGTTATGTAGTCCGTGTATAAGTAAGAATATTAATAACTTTACAAACTATATCAAATATAAAAACTATATTACGCTAAAAGTGATATCACTGATAGTATTAAACTAATTGGATTTATATAGGCATATTTCTTCTGTAATATACCCCCGAGATTGCTAACTAGCTGAGTATAGGTAGTAATCTTTATATTAGTCTTATTAAGTTAAGTGTCAGGGAGCGACCACCTGACAGGGTTTATATAGTAGATCCACTGTTCCGAAAGCATTCGGAACACTTCATGCTTTTGTGGGTTAGTGGTAAAGTGGATCAACCCTAACATTATATATATACAAATCTCTTTCTAATTCTATATAATACTAAATCTAGGTTCTCTTTTTGATTGGATATAATTAGTATTAGGTTTTTTTGAATATATTTAATAGGCTGAGTGGAGATAGTGGGACAATAGAGTAGAGTCCTTATAATAGTTTTAATAGGTTAAGATCAGATGACTAATGTAAGTCTGTTGAAATATCTTTTTGTAAGTGGGCTTACGAAAAACTATTATAAGAGAGTATAATAAAGTAAAGAATTATATTATTATGCTATAAATGTATACCGGGCTTATAACTATTATACTAAAAGTGATATTACTGATAGTATTAAGCTAATTGAGTTTATATAGGCATATTTCTTTTGTGACAAACTGTTTATTTAAAATTTAAAATAAAAATTTATTTATATAGAAATAATTAGAAGCTTAATTATAAGTTTCTTTATTTTATTTCAAGAATAGGATCAAAAGAGTCAGAGACAGGCTAAAGACACGAGAGTTTTTGTTATTTTCTACGAAGCTGATAATCAGGCTTATTGTCTAATAGCACTCAAAGATTCTCATGGTCAGATTGTAGAGTATATCTTACACTTTCTAACATTTGCTAGTGTACACTAGCACCAACCCCTGTTTTATAACAGATACAAATTTTTTGATAATCTGCTACGAAATAATCAGTCATTACCTGGACTTGAGATTTGGGTAATGTGTTTTTCTTTTTTTTGATGAGATTTATCGTTGAGATTTCGATTTATATCTGTATGTAGGTATGATTCGAATTGAGCGAGAAGGATAATATGGAAGATGGAGAATGCTGATTTGAGCTTCGATCGGTTGGCTTTTGGGGGAGGTATAAGGATTTGTCGTTTCCAACTTCCTGATGTACTCACGAATCACTTCACGCCACCAACAGGTTCTAACAGTATTTTATATACCTAGATACTTGGCTACATACTCTACTGTTGGTATTGTTGGTACTGTTGGTATTACTTATTCACTTAGGTACCTACTTACTCACCAACCCATTAGCGACCCAATCATACTCGTTTGTGTTTCTCGTTTATACTCGGATGTATTTATCCAACGGTTGGTAAGATGTGGATTACTTAAGGATGAAGTGTTGTGTTGTGTTATGTTGTGTTATATTATGTATGTATGAATGAATGGTTGGATGGATCGATAGTTGTAAGATATCTCCCTAGTATTCATATCAAAATATAAGAGTTTTCTCTCCTCACCTTTTCCCTTCCTCTTTATTATCTCTTTCTTAACTCTCAAGTCTCAAGTAGAGAATCTATATACCAAGCTCCCACCTCAAACCTCAACCCTCAACCCTCAACCTTCACTATCCCATTCCCAACACCCTCGCTTCTCCCTCTCACCCCTCTCCCCTTCCAACCATGCCCCGTCCCCCCTCCACCCCCGTCTTTGTCCTCGTCCCCGGAGCCTCCCAATCCCCCGCCCACTACGGCCTCCTCATGCACCTCCTCCTCACTCGCGGCCACCCCGTCTACTCTGCAATTCTCCCTAGTACCGGTCCTGGAAATGCAAAAAATGTAACCGCGCAGGTGGATGCAGAGTATGTGCGTGAACATATGTTGTTACCGATTTTGGATACGGAGGGGCATGATATCGTGATGGTTATGCATTCTTACAGGTGTGTTTTCGTTTTCGTTATGTTTTTTTCTCTTGGCAGTTGGGGGAGGAAGGAGATGAAGAGAAGATTCAGAAGAAAGAGAAAGTAATAAAAAATATAGACCACAAGGGAAGAAAAATGAACAAAAAGCTAACACAAACCCACCATAACAGCGGTATCCCTGGCAGCGCCGCCGCCTACGGACTAGGCAAAAAAGATCGCGAAGCAGCGGGCAAGAAAACATCTGTTTTGGGACAGATATATATCGCATCGTTATTGGTGAAAGGAGGTGATGGAGGGAATATTGTTGATGCGTTGGGTGGATCACTTCCGCCGCATATTACGCCTGATGTGAGTTTTTTGCTGGGTTTTCCTCTCGATTGTTTTGGATTCTTAGATGTTCTTGAGGATTTCTCTTTGGTTGTTTGAGTATCGGGTGGGATGGAGAAGTGAAGAAGTATCTTCTCGTTTTCACAACTACTTAGTGGTAGGTGAAAGAATCATTTTCGCGCTTGGTGGAAACACTGTCCCCAACTGTATCTCTAGAATCTAATATCCAATGATCCATCCCCTCCCTCGACATCTATCTCCCCCTAATACCCCCACCAGGAACCCTCCGGCATCCTCACCTGCGCCGATCCCGGCCCTCCCCTCTACTCCGACGTCACACCCCTCGTCTTCCAAAACGCCATCGTAAACTCCACTCTCTGTCCCAGCTACGCCTCCTGGCACTCACCCTGTCCACGCGCCTCCTGGGATCAAGAATCCTTCAAAGGAAAGATCGCATTTATTCGAACCCTCAATGATACCGGGATCCCGTTGCAGTTTCAGGATATGTTTATGCAAAGTACCGGGGAAGAGTGGATTGTGAGGGATATGGATACGGGACATAGTCCGCAGCTTGTGCAGCCGGAACGCGTTTGTGATGTTTTGATTGAGTTGGCGAGGGGATTTGGAGGGGTATGAAGGGTGAGTTGGGAGAGGAATGAAGAGGTTGTGGATTTGGATTGTTTGATCATTGCCTCTTCTCTGTGAAAGTGAATATCAAGATGGAAAAAATCCTTGATCTTTCCTCTGTCTTGTTGAATGTATCATGATGAATTAAGATGAGTAAGAAATCTTTTATGGTAATCTGTTTGTAGACCCTCACTATTCAACTATCTATTAGACATGGAAACAAAAAGACGAGTCAAATTCTGTCGCTTTCTTCCCTGTGAATCTTGGTGGAATCTTAATGAGTTAAAAAAATCTCATTGTTGTATAGTATAATCTCTACGTGAACCCTTTTCCCCTCATACTTCTATAACACGCAGCATAAACATCGAGGAAGTTTCTCCTTCCTCTCCTACTCCCCCTGGTTGAGCCATGGTCTTAATGTTGATAAGTTGACGGGATCTGTAACATTAACAGGAAGAGAAAAGAGAAGAAGTGATTGTTGAGGAGTAAATACCATGAATGCAAGACCCAAGCAAATTGACTTCACACGAACCTCAAAATTCTAGTCGATAAATTTCGACATAGAACTGTATTTTCTTATAGAATGTTCCGACATACATTCTGTGAGTCTACATCCTCACTAATAGACTCCCACAAAAGGAACGCCCGACAGAACGAGGGCTTTATAGATTGTAAGACTGCAGGTAGGAGCTTCGAACCCACTTCAAAATCCAATTCATACTTATTAGTAACGCACTTCAGCGGATTAATCCATAAGATTCCTCAACTTGACTTAATACTCTTACTCGTTAAGCAGAGGAGGTGGGAAAAACCCATGAGGTGGTTGAGAAACGTTCAAGTAGATCGCGTCTAATAATTCAAGCTCTTATATTAATCTCAACCCTATCCTCGATTAATGGCAGCCTCGACTTTGAAGTGCGGGGACATTTAGGACAACTTGTATATCCTGGGTGTAAATTCGAGATTGATTCTCTCTACAGAAAAATCTTCTATTTCTCTACAAGATTCCAATCTCGGCCTCATTACAAACATTCAAGAAAACATCATCCATGGATGGCTCTAAAATAGTATAGTCCCTCAACACCTTCGACACATTTCTCGTATCATGCCCAACCATCGTCCTCTCAATCCCAGCCACCCCCTCCTTATCCACCATCAAAGTCTCCATACTCAGCATAATCCTCCCAATCATCTTCCTCTCATACGGCAGCTCAAACTCCACCTCTCCAAACGCACACTTGAGATTCCGCACCTGCGTCCCAAACATGCCCCTAAGCGCCGTCTCCAATTCCGTCTCCCGCCCCACCTCATAAGACGCCCGCACGCGATAAAACCCTCCAAAGCGCGATCGCAACTGCGACGTCGTGCCCGAAGCCAACATTTTCTTGTCGACAATGGCCACTTTCGTCGCCAGTGCTTCCGTCTCCTCCATACTATGCGTGGTAATCAGAATCGCGCGATTGTTACTCAGCGAACGCAAGATCTTCCACAAAACGCGTTTGGCACCGGCATCTTGCCCAGTCGACGGCTCGTCCAGCAGCAGCAGTCGCGGATTCCCGAGGATGGCGATCGCGACCATGACTTTCCTTCTGGTACCGCCCGATAGCTTGGTAATGAGGCGGTCGGCGAAGGTTTCTATGCCGAATGCGCGCATCACGCCGTCGACATTCCCCTTGACGTCCCGCAGACCTTTGATACTCGCGTAGAAGCTTAGTGTTTGGCGGACGGTGAGCTCGTCAATCGCGTCATCTTGAGGGCAGACACCAGTGTGGATTCGTGCTTGTTGAGGTGAAGTGAGGACACTGATCCCATCTATAGTTATGTTGCCATGATCAGGAGTGATGAGACCACGGATCATGTTGATGGTTGTTGTTTTTCCGGCGCCGTTGGCACCGAGAAGTGCTAGTGTTTCATTCGTGGAGATGGTGAGAGAAATTTCTTGTACTGCTAGCAGCGACTTGAAAAATTTGGTTATCTTGGAGACAACGAGGACAAGGACATTGTTTTTTCCTTTGAGAGCCTTGAGGGGGATATCATCATCGTGCTCGGCTGTTGGTTCAAAGTTCGGAGACTCTCTTCCCTCGATACCAAAGTCTAATTGTGCTGGAGTCGCTGGCATCTTTCTTTTTGGGAGAAGCTTGAAAAACCATGCTGAGCTTCCAGTTTCGATATATGTAAGCACAAAACTACAGAACATGATCTGTAGAACTAGGTTCATGTAGACACCACCATAAAGTTGAAATGCTATGGGATGCAGATCATACCACCCTGTCTCGCCGCAGGTGATGCCGAAGTTATCGGTTGCTATGAAGAAAGTTCGGAGTAGGTTCGCTGCTGGCGAGGTGAGACCAAGTACGCCTTGAATATCGAGGGCTATGTCGAATGCGTTCACAGGGTCCTTGGAATCATTGACGTAATACTTTTTTGCATTAGAATCATTCAAAATCAAGAGGGGGACACTTACTGCGATGAGATAAACAATCATTAGTACGATGTGCACGCCAACTGCAGCTGCAAACGCAGCTCTTCTGAGGAATAAAGAGCAGAGATAAAGCCCTAGGTAAGTCGCAATACAGAATAGCAGTATTGCAAAGAGGATGAATGTTGATTCATACCAGACGCGGCTATTCCCGACCGAAAATATAATTGCCCATGTTATGACGGACGTGATGATTCCAATGTGCATATCGAAGATCAGATAGGCTGTCCATAGTGCTGCAGACTATTTCTATGTTAGACAAAAGCACACGATCTTCAAGCCGTTGGAGAAACTTACCGAGACTGAATTTGAATACTGCAAAGCTCTGACATTATTGATCCTCTCAAATACCGGATACATGATGCTTACACTTGTGCTACATATGAACCCAAGTGTTATGAACACCAAGATAGGAATTGACATTGAGTCGGGCTCAAACTTGACGTGTCGGAATTTGCGATACGTGGTCTTGACCTTCCTTGCCGTTCCAGTTTGTGTCGAGGAGTTCGCAAGTCGATTTGTGATGATGTTCATACCCGCCATGGAGAATTCTGGATGCATTCGATGAACGAGCGTGACATTGGCCGAATCAGCAAGAACACCAAATGCTGGCTCACCGTGGTGATCTTTGATGATGGAAATCATTTCTGTAAGTGAAGATGCATTGCCACGAGTAGCTAGAGCCTTCTGTTCTCCAGTAACACCCTCCTTTTCAAGAGTGAATGACCCAAAATATCGTGCCATGTTCTCGACATAAAGTATATTTTGAGCTTCGCCATCAAAAGCAGCCGGTGGTCCAGCAATGCTAGAAATTGTATAGTGTGCAAGGTCCTCAGCGCTGTAGAAATCAGGGGTGTCCAAAGGACCGAGAACATCGTAAGCATCATAACCCTCTCCCAAGGATATGGACTCTGCCATGCTTGCAGTTCGCATGGTAACATCTATTCTATGTGTACAGGTATCAAAAGTTTCGAATTTGGCGACCGAGCTGGCTAGTGCAGCGGCAATGACAAGTGGGATTACGACAGCGATGCCATAACTCATCCAGCTGTGCCGTGCTAGAAGGTAGCGTTTCTTCAGGATAACTAGAATCTTGAATGTGGTTAGTACGAGAGTCAGGCCGACGAATTGGCAACCTACTTGGTGAAATAGCTTGGTTTGCGTTCCAACTTCAAGGGTTACTCCCTCCACACTTCCTGGGTTCAGTTCTTCGAGCTCAGTCTCCTGTCTAGATATCTGTTCATCAAGTGCTACATCTCCGTTGCCATTACCATCCATCAGCGATGAATTGGTGACGTTCAAAAAGACTTGCTCTAGCGTCGGGAAGGTAACTGAGTATAAACCACCTGATAGCTCTTCCAATTCTAGAATCTTCTTTGTTGCTTCAGTAGAAGTCTTCATGTTCCACTTAGGCATTTTTTCATCATCATCTTCATCTTCTTCTACGTAGCCTTCGTCATCTTCTGTCGCAATCTGGCGGATCTCGAGGTCCAGTCCGTGTTTGGCTTTCAGTGAAGTGGGGGTGCCGGTACACACAAGTCCTCCTTTGTAGATGATAGAAATATTGTCCGCGAGAATGTCGGCCTGAGAAAATTTAGCATTGTAAGTAGAATTGAGATCTGGGCTTATTCCTTACCTCATCAAGGAAATGCGTAGTTATCAAGACGGTACGGCGCGAGTGACAATTAGAGATAATGTTCCAGATATTGCGTCTTGAGAGAGGATCCTGAAACCTGTTAGCAGTGTTTGAGACTTTGGATTAGCTGTAGCTACCAAGCCACTGGAAGCCTCATCGATGAAACACATTGTGGAACCTCCCACAAATGCGATGGCAAGCTGCAGCTTCCTTTGCTGGCCTCCGGATAATGTCTCGACAGCTTGGTTAGATTTTGTCAAGATATCGCACTCCGCAAGCACATCATCTTCGCCTCCAACCACACTTGCTCCAGTTTTAATCTTTCTCCAAATTCTGACGTGTTCGGAAACCGTCAGTCCCTCCCAGAAAACCTACAAATATTAGCTCGGCACATAACTGGAAGGAGTGATCTTTACATTATGCTGGGGGCAAACGCCAAAAAACGTGGCATTCTGATTGATCTCCAGTCGAGAACTTTTGTCCGCAGGTATAATGCCCGCGATACATTTGAGCGTCGTCGTCTTACCTCCCCCATTTGGCCCGAGCAGGAAGTTGACTGAACCTGTCTTCAATTCAAGATTTAAACTGTTAACAGCAAGATGGCTGCTTCCCACGGTGCTCCATGGCCAGTACCATCGTCGGCTTGCTTCAAAAGTCTTCGAAAGTTCGGTGCAACGTACTGCAACGTCACTAGACGAATCAATCTCATCGTAGGTTCTTTTCACACTCCATTTGTAGTGGTCGACTGCAAAGCACGCAGCGGTATAAATCACAATGTGGGCACAGAAGAATATAATATACAGGTAGCCGGTGACTTGGGGAGTGAAATGTTGAGTATCAGAGGTGGCCGTGATGGACACCGTGGACTTCAGGAGCGAAAAGCTGGTGAGTTGCGCCTCGGCCCGCGCAATGTCGCCGATGAGAGTTGAGTAGGCGAATGGAGGAAATAAGATACTTAGTATTGAGATTGTGGTATGAGGTGGGTTATCACCGAAAGCGAACGCTACCGTGCCGAAGGCCAGCGTAAATGTGAGAATGGAAGCATAAAGTCCTGCTAGCTGGGTTTTCCTGAAAAATGAGGATAAGAACAGTGACCACTGCAATAGTATTAGCAAAGATTATGGAGCTGAAGCTGGAAATGAAAATATGTGTCTTAAAGACTGCACTTGAAAGAAACAGATCTTGAATTACGTCCCTCAAGTCTGGATTCCTGAAAGATTTTGATGTGATGACAGGAAATATTTGCTTACCACAGTGAGAGATGTCCCAGCTATTAGCGTGAGGAACAGGAGGAGGACATCCGAGCAACGCGTGAAGAGAAGCTGGGTCATGAGAATGGAGCAAACGAACCATCCCGGCGAGTAAATTGCAACAAAAGAAGCAATGGTGGAGAAAATTCGAGGTGTTTTCGTGCAAGTTTGTGCATCTAGAAGTTCGGTCATTCCCAATTCTCTTTCCGATGCCACAAATAGACTGGCATGGTAGACAACACCAATCAAAGCGAGGAGAAATGCCGGAGCGACGAAGTAGTAAATTACCACAAACCAAGATACAGAATCAAGTGGTGAGCTTGAATCTCTCGCTTGGTCCCCGAAATATCCAGACCAGGGAAGTTCCGATGGCGGAGTCGTTTTAGTGAAGCTCCCAATGCTGGAATCGATAGCCCATTGCAGTGGCAGGAGGCGGTCGTTGCTCAACGATTCATGCTTTGCAAAGTCGGTACTCGATAGGCTTGTAGCACTGTCGGTGGCGATGATATAATCCACATTGGTAGCATTGAATGAGGTGAAGATGACAGCAGCGAAGCAGTTGGATATACCAGTCCGTGATTGTAGACAATCGTAATACAAGTCGTCCACGTCGTCAATAGTAACCCACCTGTCCGAACTGAGGCCTTGTACCGCAGTCTCTATGATCGAATTGAGTTCCGTTCCATTGAATCCATTCCGGCAAAGAACTAGTTTCTTGAGGGGAACCCCATCCAGCGCTTCTTTCAGGCTTTTAATCTGCTGCGAAGAGTCGGCAATTCCACCTTCGGTCGGCGTGGATGAAATATTGGTGAGTTTTCCACCGGAACATAATAATGCAGTGAAAACTATTGGCAGGATCAATGCGCGAAAGAGAGTTGCCCATGGTGATCTGAGAAACAGGAGGAAGTTTTTCTCGATCAGTGCTAAAGTCTGACGCCAGACACGTTCACGCCATTGTGTGGTGGGAAGAAATGTCATTTTCTCTAGACAAGCGAATGTAGTATGGGGAAGAACGCACATGTACCAGATCATCTTATGTATGAGGACTACATTGTTTAGGTTAATCCCCGCTCCCCCCCAATGAGACGCACGTGCCAGTAATGAAACAGAGTTGCACAAATTGCAATTTGCACAGCCATTATTCAATTTAAAGGTGAAGAAACTCAATTTTGTGGTGAAATGATTAACGTGGAAGAGAATGAGCCATCGCGGGCAAAGAATAAGGTAATGAAAGTATGATTCTCGGTATCCCTCCCGTATTGGGTGGGGCGGGAAGTAAGCAAGAGTCCAGTTTCATCTTGAGCACAGAACACAGTCTCAAGAGCCAAGACCCTAGCGTTGCAAAACTTTATGGAGCGCATGCAAAGATCCCCTTGAGGATGATGAGTGACAGTCTGCCAAGAAACCTTCAATAGTTAATTGGGACAACATGCTTGACTTTAAGCTTCAAATTTACAGGCTTGGCATCTGATGATCTATTTCGGGACTCATAGTGTGAGGACTCCACCGGCCGGAAAAATTCTCCGGTGGAAAACCGTAATGCTCTATAGATGACCCCGTAAAAGCATTATGGGCAGTGCTAAGACAAGCGAAAATTTCCCCTATTCGAGTATGATCACCCTCAAAGACATTCGAAAGTTTGACCGCTCGTTACTGGTCAGTTATTGTACCAAAGTCACATTCATGACCACATCTGTGGCTTCATGAATCACGAAAGGTCCAAAAATCCACCTCATCGACGTTGGTATATTGAAGACCCATAGCAATATTGGTCTCCCGCGGTTCTATTACTCGCCCCACGAAGAGTACTCCATCCTGTTCCACCCGTGGGCCGAAGATAAAGACGACGTAAACCTCAGCGATCTATTGTAACCTCGTGAGGCAGCAAAGAACCCAGGATTTGCCAAATGTGAAAACACTTACACTCAAGCATGGAGTGATTGATATTCACATGTCCGGATTAACACTTGCTGAATCTCAAAGCAGACCAGTACGAACTCACCGAGGCAATCAATTCGATTTACATATGACATGATTCAGAGGCTAGTATGCTATGCTTTCTTGCCGATTTACCTGGAGATTGTTCAAGATTGATTGGAACCCGCACACGCAAGGTCATTGCTGCTGGGTATGTGTACTAGTGTTGTAATTAGTATACGCTAGTATTACTGCGGCTCATATAGGGAGTGTAATACGTACACTAGTGCGTATATTAGCCAATGATATTTACATCCGTACGTATTATACAAAAGTGTATATACTGGGGATATACTGAAATGCAGGAAGTTACATATTTCTAATCGAATGTTACATATTTCGACAAATTACTCTCATGCCCCTTAGATTCTATAATTAAAGAAGAATAGATTCTAGCTACTTTAAGCTAAATTCCATACGAGGGGGGTAGAATCTAAGAGATATAAGAGTACATCACCTCTCAATTTTAGAGTTCAAGAGTAATTAAATCACTTTTGAAAAGCACGAGAGGAATTTGTTGTATATGGTTTGAATGAGTTCAAGTCTAATCAGGGAAGAGACTATTCAAAATACATAAATTCCAAGTACAAATATGTGAATTCCCGTATTTCAGTATATTACTAGTGATATTCAATATTATCAAAATATAGGATTCTTTCAGTATATATAGTATTGTAGTACTTTTATAGAAAATTAATCAAAGCGAGTGTTCTCTTTTTCGAAAATTCGTCTAAACCTAATTGTACGAGAAATTTATTATAGCTGTATTTTTTTCATACCCCTTCCCGAGTATTTAATATTTTAGCTGCCTTAAGTAAGATAAAACACTCAACAAAAGTATAAAGAAAAAAGAAAGTAAATTTCCGCTTTGAGAGGACAATAAATATTTCGGATAGGTAGTAGTCAAGACTGAGAGGTCGATCGATCACATTGAGTCTGAAAAAACCCTGCGTAAAACCCGTAATGCTGCGGTTTATACTATACAATCTTTTAATGATTGGACTTTATACCGTGGCGATACAACTTATTCGAAAAAGATAAACAAGCTTAGCTCTAAGAGAATACCAAGAAACTATTCTACAATGACAGTAAAAGAAGGTTATAAAACCACGAGCCTAGGGTAAGTCTTATCTTATTTTAGTAACTAAGACAGAATTCGACTTAAATGTATCAAAAAGTAGTAACATTTTCATATTAATGAATATTTTATTAGTAATTGTATCAACTTTTCAATATCTTACTGGAATAAACCAAGCCCAGTATATTCTCAATAAGCTTATATAGATGAGCGAATAGAGATGCGACTTTCACTCAAGTAAATATTTTGTATCCCTAGATACAATTTTTGTTTTATAAACAAACTACCTGGCTGGGTTTTCTGAAGTCGAATCAGAAGAGAATATCTATCAAACCTAATTGTTGAAGTAGACATACGGTATGACCGTCATACTAAAACTCTTTAACAAACAACTACTAAGAGTTGTCGTGAGTGTAAAGAGATAAGTCTCTTTGCCAATGGAAAGGAGGTGTACATAATTCACTAATAATTACGAAAATATCTCCATATACATCCATATGTACCACTTTAGCACGGGCGTGATTGAAACACGGAAAATACTAATCACAACACTAATGTGTACTACGATTTACATAGTACCGAATCATTTTCATTGCCTTTGCCTTGGACGATCCCAGAAAACCTCGTAAATCCATTCCCATCCCATCCCATCCCATCCCATCCCGGCAAATCTATCTCTCATTCTCATGAAACCAGGAACCAGCCAGTGCCCAAGCAATCGGTAAAGACCATAATCTCAGCTATGAGCATCCTGATCGCCAAGTTCCAGAATCCCCCAGATATGAGAAGATTCATGTATGTATGTCCTTGCAACGACCCACAAGTATATCAAAAATATCAAAAATATCAGCAGAAATTGTAAGATCTTACCATGCACAGACAGCCGTGAGATTTCAAGAAAACATCATCACTCATCAGTAGATCATCACGCCCCATCAAGACCGAGTTCCAATCCAAACAGAGCGTCAAGAATCCCGCCATGGAGAGAAGATCCACAACTGCCTCACATAAGAGAGTCGACGAATGAGATCACACAACCACGCAATCCACACGCGTCCTCGAGGTCTCTAGACGATAGTGTTAACCAGCAATATCTCATGCCTCAGCAAACCAATTCCGACATCTACTCAGACATCATGATTCTTTCAGGCACACTGGTGGGTGCATGGATTGACGGGACACTTCCCACCTATCGAAATCTTATAACAAATTCATTCTTCGATTGCTTGATATCAGAATCTATAATTTGATTCTCTCATCTCAAATATATGATTGTCACGAGTCCTAAAATATGCAAGTTGATATATCAAGAGGTATTCGCAAGTCCATTTTTGCAGTGTCCCGTCAGTCCGTACACTCACTGGTGGCACAACCTAAGCTCATCATAAAAAATCACAAACCCATCCTATCCACCATCCAAAGCCTCCCGACCAAGAACTAACAACCAAGACCCCCCAAAAGAAAAGCCGCAAAACCATTATAAACTAACCCAACCAATATCCCACGCAGAAAGAACCAAAAAAACAAACAAACAAACACACCAAACGAATCCAAGTAGTTAGCATCAGCTACTCAACTCAACTCAACTCGAAGATAACAACCCCCATACCAAAACCCCGCTCGAAACGCCGCGAAAAAAACTGAAGAAATTTACAAACGACTTAATTTCATACATCTTCTACTAACCTCCCCCCCCCCCCCAATGCGCTATTCTCGCACAAGAAACCAGGGCGAACGCGATAGATATAATAAAGAGTGATGAGATCCAAGCCAAGTTTCATCACGAGAAGAGAGCTTTTATATCGAGCGCGGATATCAAGTAAATCGGATGGTACTGAACATGAAGTGCGTTGACATTTGTGCCGTGAAGTAACAATTCACAGTGTTGGAATGTTATAATGTGGAAGCCAGCGCCGACTGTTACCCTCACCAAATTTGGTTCATGATAATCCTGGTTTCAAATATACAAGGTTTCAGTAGAATGAAAGAGAGAGATTTCTTTAAACACTCTTTCTTTCTTTCCTTTGTAAAATGAATTATGACTTGTCATCAACATCCAACTGTTAGAATCATATTCGGTCATAATGAACACCTTTTTAGGGCTTGCAAGTCACAGTTCATAATAGTCTAATCGCACGGTATTATAACTCTGTAATCTATCTCCGCTTGTGCATTATACACTGTATGTTTGTGGCGTTGAGATTATGACAGCAGAATACTGAGTGAGCTTTCTCATTGCAACATTTAGATTGATGGACCAATAGATGATTTATCGAGAAAGTTTCTCCTCCTCAGTTTGTAAGCTTACATACATACTTATGTATTGTATTTTGGGAATCAATATCGTTGTATCAAGAAAATCTTCAAAGAGTGTTTTTGAATTTTAGTTGGTTGAGACCTTGTGATTGATCGTAACATGAAAATACGAGATAAGTTGAATTGAGAAAAAAAAACATCATGAATGAAATAATAAACTCAACTTTGAACTAGACGACGTTGTGATCTTTCAAACGAAGAAGAAGACGCCTTTGGAGAGATTTGAAATATTCCCAATTAGCCCACTGCAAAGTCAATCAGGGCAGAAGTAAAGAAATAAGAGAGAAAATCAAATAAGACCGAACACTAATTCGAGTCATATTAACATTCAATGAAAATAAACCAGTCTCCTTTTCATATAAAGATAAAATGAAGATGAAATGACGCTCCGCTGGCCCTCCGGGGGCCACTGCCGTGGAGGCAGACTATATACAAATTGATCGAAAAGAAAAGAGAAGATAAGAGAGCATCTTACTCTACCACCCGATCTTCATTCTACCATCTGATTACTTTCTCAATTCTACTATCTCTCCTGTGTCAAAAAAAAAGAAGAAGAAGAAGAAGAAGAAGAAGCAACCATCTCAAAGAAACCATCTCTCCCACTCAC